CCCCCCCCCCCCCCCCCCACAGACACGTCGCACCCCTTACTCAGATCTTCACAACGCAGCATTGCCCGGTCTGCGGACGGCTGCAGTGCCCTGTGCAAGTGCCAGCTGGGCAGTGCAGGGCTGGAGCTCTGACGTGCCTCGTTGACGTTGAGCTCAATTTTGGACTCCTTTAGTGCAGCTATCACGTCGTCCTGCCCGGTCAACTGAAGGCTGCGCTCTCATGCCAGCGATTGCCTTCGGCTGTACGACTGTAGGACTCAAGCAACCCAGCACGTGTTCCGATTCCGACCTTGCCAGCACGCATAGACTTCATCTTGTTGCAGCTCAGGATGAAGCTCATGTCCTCTGCTGCTGGCTGGTTGGAACCGAGTTGTGGTCATGGCAGGGAACAAGGCCATCCTAAATTGAAGGTCGAGCATCGAGCCATCCGTCCGCATTAGCTGAAATCTTGTCATGGAAGAACTTGTCGTACTTCAGGTTCTCGTCGCTGAGGTAGTACTCTACCTGCCACGTCCCCAGCACCAGCTCCAGCTGCAATGTTAGAGACTAAAGAAAGGTCGAGTCCCAGCACAGCACCTGCTTGCGAACTACCGCCGGATCGGGGGGTGTCGGCTTCAGGCGCTTGGCATCCGGCTCTGCTCCTCCCTCCTGCACGCTCGTTCTTGGCGCTCCGCCGCTTTCGTCTTAGAGAGAGGAAGCAGGGCTACCTTTCGTTTCTCGGCAGGCGCGGCCTCAGACTTGGCCTAGCAAGGCTCAGGAAGAGAAAAACACCGCAAGGGCCGAAAAAGCGTAAAAAAAAATTGTTGCGCCTGCTCCTCCGGCTTCGCTTCCGTTTTCTCTTCCGTCTTCTCCTCCGGCTTCTCAGCCGGCTTCTCGGCCTGGGCTTCCACCCCAAACACGACGTTCTGGTCAGAATGAGCTCCATGCGTTCTCCGCCATGGCCAGCTAGATGACTTGATGCCTCTGGAGTTTGCGAAATGCCAGAGCTCAGCTGTGAAGGTGAAGGCAAGTCGTGCATGGCCGAGCCCGGCACCGACCTGAGCCGTGTAAACGAGAGTCTCAAGCCGGAAAGCCAGCAATTGCCAAGCCGAAAAGCGCGGGGACCGCCAGTGTTCACACTCGCACGTGCGCAGAACCACTTGCGAAATCTGAAGCACTAGGTCATGCAAGGAAGACAGCAGTGAATGGCACAGCCACACAGATTTTGCAGATGCTTTGCTGCGGATAAAGCCATCTTCGTGATACACCTTACAAGACAACAAGGCTCAGTGCCACGGAAGCTGCGAACCATCCAGCATGCCTTCCACGACAGCCGACCGCCCTTCTGAATGCACATCACTGAGAATCTATGCTTCCGCCTCGAAGGCAAGCCGCTTCTCTCTGAAGCAGGCTCCCCCTCCTTGGTTGCATGATGCACTGCGAAAGAAGGCGACCACCAGACTCGTCACCCGAGGGAACCTCTGCTGGCTGCTTGGTCGTCGACTCATCACCAGCCTATCGGAGAAGGAAGATCGCTATGGAGCTCAAGTCCGAAAGCATGCTGCCACTCAGAGCTCAGTTTCGGGGATCCACCTCAAGAGCCTCTGCACTTCAGCTGCCACGTATGCCCCAGAGATAATACACACAGAGAAACTTCTCGCGGTTCACATCTATCCGAAGACTGAGAATGTAGCACGTGTAACACAGTTATTAAACTGTTAAGTTGTCGTCTGGGTTGTCGTCTGGGTTGTCGTCTGGGACTGGCTGGCAGGATGCATTGAATGTCGAAAGCCCCTGAGATCATCGGCGACAACGTCCTGAGATCATATGAACAGGATGTGCCTTAAGCTGCCGGAGCTTGGCTGAAGCACTGCGCAGCTCTGCCTCCTCCGCTGCCAGCCTTGGGCTTCTTCTGATGCACATCGGCACATGCATGCTGACCACGAGTTTGCGTCAGTCTCCAACCGTTTCAAGTTCTTGCTGTACTGCTCCTTGGCTTCTCCAAGCTCAACCTCGCGCTTCACGGTATCTTTCCAGGCGGCATTTTCTTTCATCGTCGCCTGGCAGGCGGGAGCGACCACAGCTCTAGACGCCCTCCTGAAGTTCATCACACAGACCAGAACGTTGTACCGTTATACCCCTCAGGACCCGTGCATTACCCTATATCTGCAACTGATGCAGCAGTCCTTGGTCACGTGCTTTTGCAGCTGCTCGTACTTGTGTTTGGCGTCTTTGAGCTCCTGCACTGCAATCACCGCATAACTTCCCAAGCGTGGTCGGACACGCCGGTCACAACCCACCTCCGGCAGTGTCGAATTCGCAATCGCTGCTTTGAGCTTCTTTCGCTGGGCTTCGGAATCGCTTACGTACTCTTTCCTTGTGGCTGCAGGAGGGCTGTAAAGCCACAGGTGTCAGACTGAGTCGTTAAACGTGCCCTGTCGAAGGATGTACCTGCCAAGAGGCGCATAATTCAGTCCCTTTTGAAGCTGCTTCATCTGGCTCTTGAGCTCTCTGAGGTTGGCTTCCCCCACCTGCGGCAACGACATTGACATGGGAGTCCATACCAGAATTGGTCCCAAGTGATGGAACGGTCCAAGGATTGACTGATTGACGCCTCCACCTAAACATGACACTGGGATTCTGCAAGAGCCCCCGAGAGCGCGTCACCTTGGCAAGACAGTTGCCTGCAATAGATGGGTGGGGAATACACGCTGGAACAAGTTAGCATGTTTGAGCCTTAGAGTTTCTCGTGGCTAGAGACGGCAAAACAACAGCACGAAGCACGAGGTGCCACTTCCGTCTGCTTTTTCACAGGACTGAACACCCTGACACCACACAGCCACGCCCGCCAGTGCTGAAACATGATGCGCCACGCCGCCCCCTCGCACAGTAAGGAGCATGCGGAAGCTTCGGAAGGTTTTATCTGCCGAAAAGCGTGCTATGCAGTACCGGAGCAGCAAACCTGGCCTTCAGGTCTTCTTCGCTTGGCTTGCGTTGCCCATGCTTCTGCAGCGATCGAAGCATACCCCAATCTCGCCCCACTCGTCCAACTTCTTCCTCCGTAATGCGTATTGCTTCTCGATCTCGGGTTTCTTGAAGTTGGAGCTCTGTCTCTTTGACTTCGTCTTTTATGACTGCCTTCTGCAGGTTCTGAAGCTTCGACCTGACAGAGTGCTGTCCCTTTGATAAAACTGTTATACTCAATACAATGGCCAAACTCTTGCCCAACATTTGCCGGGCCACTGGTGGTGGTCTTCGTGATCGGCTTGCGTGTGCGATACGTGGTGGTGCGAATGTCGGGCATGCCTTGTGTGGTGAGAGGAACTCACCAACAACGGCAGCAGCAGCCCCACCAACACCTGCCTTCCAACCTCAGCTTTTGACATGTCAGCTACAGGGCGAGCTTTTCTGTGCGCATCCTGTTCAATCCCACCACGAAGGCCTAGGCTACTGCAAGCGATGAACATACACCATGGCATCGGAGAGCTCCGCTTCGTTGGAGGGAATGCGGGGGACTGCCCCGCAAACGACTGCAAGGCATTCAGCTCAAGGCGCATCTGTATGGATGTACACATGCTACTGTCTGCAACATCTGTTCCTGTCCACGCTGCTTTGTTTTTCGCCAGCTGCTGAGAAGCCCTAGGTTAGAGCTCAACATTCAGCCCTGTACGGCACTAACCTCACCACCGAGGCGAGTCCACACCATCCAAACTGCTCAGGCATTGCTCGGCAGGCTACCTCCACGTGGCGCCATGACAAACGGCCCCTAACCAAACAAAAGAAAAGCGGCGGCCTCATCGACACCAACGTGCTGCACATCGGGAAGCGGCCAAACCACCCAAGGCACCAATCGGCGCCTGTACATGCGCAACAGAAGCCAGGAAACGATCAGGATTTCTTAGGCGCTGGCCGCGATCAAGAGGCCGGTGACCTCAGTGTGCTCCAATCTGTCCTTCACATGCGGCTACATGGTACCATGAACTGCGAAACTAAACCACCTTCCTGTGGTGAAATACAACCGCACAGCATACCCAATGAAAGTGTCACGGTCCTTTTTTTCCACGTGCCCATTTACGACCGGGGGTGTACATAGGATTGCTATCCTCGATTCCGGTGACAATTTGGCTGCTGAATGAAACAAGCCATCTCGCCACCCGTGCGGGGGTGACGAATGACGGCCGTAATGCGGCAAAATCCGGCCACAGCCCTCGTGGACCATCAAGGAGGTGCGGACGTGGCCCGCAACGGACAGGGAGTCGCATGCTCTGCCGCTGCGCATTGCAATGGCAGCCACAACGAGTCGGCAGCGTGGGGCTCGTCGCGATGCGGACTGCTGGCCCCCCACACATAGCAGCTTCAACCGCTATTCTTCAATTTTTCCTGATTCCAGCGGCAGGCGGCCCGGCCCCGTTGCACGGCAACGTCGCGGACACGATCCAGCCACGACGTGGGCCCCCGGTTCCGCATCCCTTTGCCACCCGGATCTTCAGCTGGTGCTGCAGCCTCGATGCGTTGGGAGGCCACTGCGCGGCGTGTGCCACATCTGGCACACTCGCAATCCGAGCGCTGTCGCTGAAGCTGTCGCTGGCACTCGTGCGCGTAGCCCGCAATGTCCGTGTCGCTGATATGAGCATGACGTGCCAATCAGCGATCGCCAACCCGTAAACAAAAATGTGTTACTGCGTTGAAGCAACGCGCGGCGAGCATCCAAGGCTTGAGCAATGCTTTCGATGCCCGCACGCTGTTGCAAACCAGAAGGGGACACGCCACCCCCCTCCAGCACCGCCCACCTTCAACAACTACAGTACTCAGTAGATGCTTGCGCTAAGCCATGTGTTGAGCAAGTTGGTGCAGAAACGTGACAGTCTCGGCCGTTAGCTTCCCGCCCCCCCCCCCACAGAGACCAGCCTGCAACGGCGGGCAACCAACAGCTCCGGGCTCGTTTCTTGGAGCTTGCGCCTCGCCACATCAGCAGCTGCAAGCTGGGCACGCGACTTGCCTTTGCTTGCACGAACCGAAGCCGCCTCCAGCGACTATATGCTTTCAAGAGGGGCCCCCTCCTTAAAACGCACCTATGCGAGAGTATTTTTGGGGGTTAGGGGGGTCGGACCACCCTCCCCTGAGGTCCTTGTGCGTATGCGTAGCGATAGGATGTCGAAGATTGGTGTGCGGCTGGCACATTGAACCCTTCATTTCCCACCCATTTCTCCCAACCCCCGCACCCTCTCACAATAGGTGGCCCTGCGACCCGTAAATAGGTGGGGGGTGGAGGTAACCCCCCTGGTCACCACAAAAAAGGGGAGGGGCCTCTCACAAGCGTGGTATCAACTTCAACCGCAACTTGGGCATCTTGTGAAGAAAAGGATGCCGTTGGCCCTGCATGCGGCAGGCGGCGGCCAGCATCCGCCATCCGCCAGCAAACCATCAATTCTTCGGGGAGCGTGATACTTCAAAACACGCAAGCATTGCTCCGTCGTGCTGACAATCATAGTCCTTAGCGCCCCCGGCGGCAGCATTCGGAGGAGGAATCGGAATAATTGGCCCGCAGCGACTGACGCGCGAAACAACAGGAGGAGCCATGGACTGCAGGCACTTTGTTGTACGTGTGTGTGTGCGGGTTGGAACGGTTATTCAACGTCTGCAGGGGATGCTTTAATTATCCGAATCGCACACTCGTTCATGTGAAGCAGCCGCTGGGCAGGCCCTGGAGATCCCTAGAGCCCGCCACGCAACTCATTATTCCCTTGCCCAGCCTGCAAGGACAGGGGCACGGTCGCTGCCGCTTCGGACGCCAGACCTGCTGGTTTCGGGCACACCGCTCGGGAGCGACGCATGCGTCCAACGAGAGCGGCATCGCGAGAGCGCCGTCCAACACAGCTGCTTGAAAAAAACAGCGCATCAGGCATCGCAGCCGATGCATATCCCGCGCCTGCGCTTCGCTGCAAATCGTGCGGTTTGCAGCGTGCATAAACCGAGCTCATTCCAGCCTTGGCGCCCTTTACGCGCTAGAACCCCGAAAGCCTGATACCCCAGATCCCTGCAGGCATCAGATTCCGATTTCTTTTGTCGGGACTTTGCCAGAAAGAAGCAGGCTCTCAAAAGAAAAGCTCGGAAACGGACAACAAGTTTGAACCCAGAGGCTCTGTCCACCCCGAAGCTCCAAAAAATCCTTTCCGCCCACGTGCCCAGGCGCATCGGGTTTTTTTCCTTCGCAATGAAAACTGAAACCTCGACATGAAAGTACAGCGGGACTGACGGTCAATGCAGTAAGGCATACGCGCACTGCAGTCGCAAATGTCCCTATCATCAAGAAACTCACCCTTAGTTCCCTGCATCGAGCTAAATAGCTTCGCACCGAACAGGAGCTGGGCGAACAGACCCACACGCAACCAGCTCTCTGTAGATACGCCTTGTTTCCCTCTGCCGTCGTCCCGGGCCCATTCGTGACTGATTGTATGAGATCATAATTTTTTTTCCCGCACCTTTTTCCTGCTGCCGTTGGAGTCCGTGGCTTTCCCACTGGCTTCCCAAGTCCAAAGGCCTGAAGGCTGCTACGGCCGGAGCGGCAGTCGGCTCGGCCCCGCCGCTTCGGCATAAAATCAAAATTACGCCCTGGTCCTGGTCATCTAAGAAAGCAAGGTCAATTTCCAAGTTTTTCTGCTCTTTCCCACCTAGCTAGATCTGCCCCGCTAATACGTCCCACGGCAGCGGAAAAGCGAGACCGGGGAGGCCACTGCCAGGGCTAGTCCCAGCACGCATCAGCAAAGACCTCATGTCGAACGTTTTGCGGGCTCTCTGCGCTTCGGCACATACATCTGTGGGTCGGTTTTCTGCTTGCAAGAGGAGATTATGCTGCCTGGGGGTGAGCCACCCCGGCCACTTGCGTGCAAGCTGGGTTTCGCCCTCCGGCAGCACGTCCTCAAGACCCATTGCAAAATTTTGCTGGAAGCTCACCTGCCGTGATAGCCGAACAGGCGAATCGTTTGGGCATTCGCCAACCAACGCAACGATGTCAGCCCGGCCGAAGCCATCAGCGCGGCCCCCTGCGGCCCACGGGATACTAACTTTGATTTTCCAAATCTGGAGCGTGAGCCAACATAGTTGCGGACCTCTTTGTCGCGGGTGTCTTCGTGATCATGCTTCTACGTGCTTGCAATGGGCTATCCTAGGAATGCCCCAGAGGGGAGGCATCAAGTTCTGTTGGCCGGCTGTGGCCAACAAACAAACCCGCTGCAAGGAACAATTACGATCGGGTATCCGACTCCTTTGCAATATATCGGTTGCCAACAGCGCGTCAAAAACAAAGCCTGCCGTACATTTGGGTGATAGACGAAAAAGTCGCCATAACAGAGCCGAGGAGACGGGTGGAGCGTACGATCTGCCTCGTGCAGTACAGTTGCTGCTCCGTCCGTAACCATTCGTTCCGAACGCCTCCTAATTGTTGAACGAGTTCGGTCATGAGTTGCCTGAGGCGTCTGCACTTGTGGTCCTGTGGGTTGGTGTGCGTTGTTGCTTGTGTTTGTTGCGTCAATACCCTTCTGACGACATGCCCCGGGACTAGCTATCTGTGAGGGTGTTTCGCTGCCGAGGATAGCGACTTCGTGCGACACACAAGCATGTGAGCAATCTTTTTTGCTCGGACCTTTTTCCACCTGTCAACCACAGTCAGCACCTACATCCTACTCAGCCGCTACGGGCGGCCGGGACACGGCTCGGCTGAGGCCCGCTAGTCCAACGGGCGTCTGCGAGGAGTTCGATGGAGTTCGTGCAGAGCTGGGGCTCGTCCGGCAGCACAGGGTTCAGTGTGCAGCGGCAGCTCGAGGAACGTGGTTGCAAACGCCCTCTGCGCAGAAACAGCGACGAGGCCACTCGACCGGAGAGACCAGGCTGCCTGCGCAGCTGGGCGGAGCGCAGGCGGCGTGGCATTGTCTAGTGAATGCAGTGCACGGTCTTTTATGTTGTGAGATGCTCTAAAGCGAGCTGCAAAGGGAGGGTTGTTCCTTGATCACAAGTGATCTCAAGTGAGGATGCGGCCGCAGACTTTTAGTGCCGGAGATGTTCCCCGTTAGGGGCGTCTTTCGCTTCAAGTGATGAAAGTAGGGGCGGGTACCCGCAATGGCCTCAGAACTCTTTTCGAGGAACGCGAGCTGTGCTGGGATGGGCCGGATGCCGTGCTGGATGCATGGGTACGTTCGGTGCGGTCACAGCTCGGGCGAAGACCAAACAATCTGGAAGATGAACAAGCAGCTTTGGTGAAGGGTTTGTTGCCAGTTGCTGAACAATTCTTCCAGTTACAGTCGCTTTCGGACGCGAGTTCTGAGGTCTGGAATGGTTTAATGTGGGAGGTACTGCAGGTTTGTGTTGCCAAAACGCAATCAGCGCAGCGGTTTCCATTCATGATGGAGGCAGTAAATGATGCATGGGAGGAGGTTGTGGCCTCGTGATTGGACAGATGCGAGGGTGCGACGCGTGAG